CCAAAACCGCCCTTTTCGACAGGTAAGTAACCTCTTGGTTATGGAGAAATTACGCTCTGAAAATCGTTCGCACCCCTGTGCGCTGACTAGCAACCTTACGGTAGGTCCCCTCGGCCGGAGTACTTGTGGTACAGCAGTATGCAATAATCTTGTCGTGTTCGGTAAGTATCTCCAAGCGTGCGGTAAGTCCGTTGCGTTTGTGGGACTCTGAGATGATATGAGAGGTCAAGGGTCTGCCGAGAATGATGGGGCCCAAACCCATCTCGGTAAACGAGAGCAACATATGCGACACAGCGTCATGTGTAAAAATGTTCTTCGGAAGAACCAAGATTCTTCATGCGGAATTTTAAGCAGCAAATTGAAGCTATACGTAAGAAAATTACGCACAATCGATTCATGAACTCACATCAGGTGAAGCTGAGAGCGAGTCATGGTATCAATATTAGCTCTCACATCGTCATTACAGTTGAAAAACCCTTCAAACCGATCTTACACCACTCTCGACATCTACCAATCATGGATACCGACCAGACCACCAACAACATCAAGATCTGCCTTTACGAGATCGTCAACACGCTTCATAGAACCACCCGTGCATTTCTCTATTTAGGCTGAATTTGGGCTAAATAGAGAAATGCTCTGGGTGGCTCTCTGAAGCGCGTTGACGGTCTCGTAAAGGCAGATCTTCATGTTGTTGGTGGTCTGGTCGGCATAGACCACTATTTGTTCGGCCCGAATTCCGAGGACGACCCAGTCGCAGATTGTTTCAGCGTTCCCCAGCGGTGCCGATTCGCAAAACTTTTTTCCTCTTACATAAAATCACCAAACTTCAAACAAGGCATACACAATAGTCTACACCGGCATATGCATACTCCGGTGTACAGCACAGCCAACCTCCTCCGATGGCAAAGCAACTGCTGTGTATATATATGCTCCAGTAGGGCATGTCGGGAAGCTGGTGGCATGCCCGGCCTTGCCCTACGGTCGGATGACCGGGAGGGTGAGTTGGCTGAGATGTTTAGGCGGAGATGAACAGAACTACATTTACGTAAACGCTTGGCGGGCTTGTGTCTCTCGTTCTTTTTTCCCAAGACCGCCACAGTTGTTGAAAGCCAGCAATCCGAATCAGAGTAGTAGCGGTTGCCCTCCGCTTGTTAGCGCACGCAACGATGCTGCTGTCGTCCCAGATCAGAGGGACGAACAGACAAGGGAGGCGACAGCAGGAGCCTTGGGGAAGTTGCGCAAGGCCGAAGCTCGGTGTGCCGTCTAGGAAAACGAAAAGCCTCGAGACAACGAGCTGGGGCATCGGACTTGCTTGAAAAAATGCGGCTGAATGAAGGACGACATTATCTCTTCACTGAGAAATGATGTTGCTGGTGCGGGGTATGGTGGGAACAACGGCAGGCGTGTTGAAGGCGCAGAGTCGGCGGGGGGGGCAGGCGGGAGGGGAGCATCACCCACCCCATCCTGAAGCGGCTGGGGCCTATGTAGCGCAGCGCGTAGAATCTCTCCTGTCGTAATAGCACCGTCGCAAGCTGGATCGCGTTCGGAGAGGGGCTCGCGGCGCCCGGAGTGTGTACGACAACGCAACCGTTCGCCTGTAATTGTATGGTTGGCGACCATTATTGAAGCGAAACAAGTAACATCATTTCTCAGTGAAGAGATAATGTCGTCCTTCATTCAGCCTCCATTTTTCAAGCAAGTCCGATGCCCCAGCTCGTTGTCTCGAGGCTTTTCGTTTTCCTAGACGGCGCACCGAGCTTCGGCCTTGCGCAACTTCCCCAAGGCTCCTGCTGTCGCCTCCCTTGTCTGTTCGTCCCTCTGATCTGGGACGACAGCAGCATCGTTGCGTGCGCTAACAAGCGGAGGGCAACCGCTTCTACTCTGATTCGGATTGCTGGCTTTCAACAACTGTGGCGGTCTTGGGGAAAAAAGAACGAGAGCCACAAGCCCGCCAAGCGTGTATGTAAATGTAGTTCTGTTCATCTCCGCCTAAACATCTCAACCAACTCGCCCTCCCGGTCATTCGACCGTAGGGCAAGGCTGGGTATGCCACCAGCTTCCCGACATGCTCTACTAGAGCATATATATACACAGCAGTTGCTTTGCCATCGGAGGAGGTTGGCTGTGCTGTACACCGGAGTATGCATATGCCGGTGTAGACTATTGTGTATGCCTTGTTTGAAGTTTGGTGATTTTGTTCAAGAGGAAAAAATTATTTTGCGAACCGGCACCGCTGGGGACCGCTGAAATAGCCTGCGACTGGGTCGTCCTCGGAATTCTTCGGGCCGAACAAATAGTAGTCTATCCATGATTTGCAGATGTCGAGGGTGGTGTAAGATCGGTTTGAAGGTTTTTAAAAGGTAATGACGATGTGAGAGCTACATGACTTGCTCGCAGCTGAACCAGGCTTCAATTCTGATGTCTGCGAGGGGCTCCGTAAAATCGTTATGGTGCTGGAGGCGTGGCAGAAAACGGAGTGCCGGTTGCATCACATCGTTGAATCGTGTCGGAGAGGAAGTCCTACTATAATAATAGTCTGCTTCACATTTGACTACTGTTCCCTACTGCTACTACAGACGGGTGTAGGCGCGCGCATTTTTATTGTGCTTTTTTTTTTTTTCATCAGTACAGTATGACCCAACGAATCCATCTCTATCGAAGAAAAGAGTCTACTGTAAGGCTGTGAGATAGATTAGCAGTTAAGGAATAATAAAAACACACACAGAAAGATTACCCATATATTAGCAGTTAAATATTTTGTTCCCATTTGCATCTTTGCTGTAAGAACGTTCGCATACGAGGTAACACACGCTCTCGTTCTATGCACTCTACTACCACCTCCCACCGACCTGCTAGCACTACAAGTACAAGAGTTAAGCCGCTCCCGGGGTGCCCTGTCGACACACAACCTCCAGCATCCGAAATTCGAATTTGCAATCAATGACGGTGTGCACGTATGGTGTGACGGTGTGACGGTACCTGTGCAGCTGCTACATGGTAGTTGCAGTTGTAGTTTGCGAACCGAAACCCGTGCCACGTCCGCTATCTGTATATGTACACTTCTCACGTACCCCATGGCGGGGTGTGTGGACGATTGCGGCACAGCACTAAATCTGATCCAACTTCTAGCGTAGTAAATTCCCAGCCATAGCACTACGCCTACTATGTGGTTGTCGAGTTTCACGCGTGTATCGAGCGCGTCATCGCATTTGACATTGCAAAGTTGCACCAACCAATCAACGAACGCTGTGAGCGAGTGCTATTCCGAAACGTGCACGACGGCGACGATCGCGTTTGTCAAAGGATTCACGTCGCTGAGTTAGCGCCCTTAGGTTGATCACGATGATGGACGGAACTCCAGTGAAAAATTACACACCATCCCTGTCGACATATGCGTAGCTTCAGTACAGCACACAGCAGCGGCAGCAATACCACGGTGTTCTCTCCGCACCATCTGATTGTTCACCCGCCACCCGCCTGAACCATGTGCAGCAGTTTCGTCCCGGCGTGCAAGGATATAACTGCAATACGCCCGGCTCACCTTCCTCTGTCACCCTCTAGGCGCTCTTCCTCTCCAATGGGGTCCCCCTCTCTCGCCGTCTGCCCGTCAGGTGACCTGCCGTTGCTCTGCCGTGTTACACCAGTACCCAGGTGCATCACTTGCACGCATCACCCCCAGAGGGGGCTCGCGAAATGTTATTTGATTTATTGGGCGGGGGGCGTGGGGCACAGCTGGTTCTGGATTTGTTCTTCATTTTGGTTCTGATCTGCGACCCTTATGTCGGATGTTGGATATGGATCTTTTCGCGAAAGGATTTTGGAGTTAGCAATTGGAGTACACAGCAGCACAGCAGCAGTAGGCTCTTTCGATACGCTCAGAAGCCCGCCACGACACTTTGTAGGTAAAACCAAAACTCGAGGCATCTGAATAACACACCGACCGGCCGTGGACACGATGACCACCCTGGCTGCAATGACACGGTGAGTTTGAAACAGTCGAACCTACAGCAGTAGACGGGTGTGAACGCGTGAACACACCGGTTTGTGCTTTGGTAGACCATGGAGATGTTCCCAGCGCCAACATTTGAAGAGGACCAGATGCGACCTTAGGGTCAACCTGCTGGAGAGCGTGTTGCAAAGGACTTACAACAAAAGTGGGAGGTACTGCTGTACGTACGAGTGTTGCTGCAACTTTAGGTTTTGTCTGAGTGTTTAGACTCTACATTAGTGCTACTGTGCGTCCTCACCGAAACCATGAAATGGGCTTCCCTCATCAAAATACTGTAGCAAATCTGCAACACAACATAGCAATTGACAGCAATCGCGAAATGAGCGGGAAGAAGTCAATATGGTCTAGAAGAAGGGAGAGATTTTGGGGTGAACTGGGGCATGGACACGAACATGAAGTTAACACGGACGTGAGAACAAGCACCTGCTGCACACTCAAGGCGCCCCTCCCATGATGGTATCAATCACCGTTGGGTATACTGCTATACCAGGACAATCACCCGTGACAAGCCGGCGTTCGGGAAAACCACCGATCCATTCAACAAGACAGCTGCGGGTGTTTCACCGGCAGCCACGGCATCGGCGGCGGTGAGAGAGAATAGGCTCGCAAGTATAAAGACTTCAGTTGTGCCGGTTTCGTACATTTGTATCTTGGTGGTGGTCGAGCTTGGGCTCGGCAAGTGAACACCAGAGAGTGTCTCACCAAGGGTGGACTGAATGCGGCACCTTGGCGGTACGCATTGTTTTGTGCAAATGCTCTATTTCGTGGAAAGGCGCCTCCTACATACGAAATACACAGGAGTCTACATTAGTCAGGAGTCCCCGGCTAGACCCTGCTTGATTCATAACTATTTGGTGCCCCCCAAACCGCTGCAACCTTTTCCCGCCGCACAAAGAAGGACTGCGCCCATTAGGTGGAAGAGATCGGCTGATTCGCATGTATCTCTGCAGCACTCTGAACACGACCCTTCTGCCTTGCGCGATAAGATAGTCTTGTGCCGGAAGGTTTTGCACGACGTTCGCGACAGATAGATGCTGTTCTCACTATTCTCCTCCGTCAACATGTGATTCTTTGGCAGGGCGGGGGGGGAGCGGTTGCAGCTTCAGGGGCGTCAAACTTTTTCATCATGTGCACGGGCCAGGTGGAGTTCGGCGAGGTATGTCTGTTGCTTGTGATTGTCAACTGCGTCATCCTGTTTGACCGAGCTTGTTCCATAGATAGCATGTGCCCCAAACAGTATAGCGGTAGCACAAGCGCGATCCAAGATCAAGTTTTCACACTCTCCCGACGGCACATGTTATCCATAGAACAACTGCTGTGCACGGCTCGTCGCCTTACGTGGAACGGACGAATCTTGCACTACTCTAGACATACCTCTAGGTCCTTGTAACGCTTGTACATGCCCACCGCGTACTCCGCCCCACGCGTCGTCCCTGTCGGCGACATCATGCTCCGACACCTCCGACGGCGAAATAATGAAATAATAAACCTCTTCAGCCGCGACACGACCGTTCATCTCAGTTCCAAGCGGAGAAGAAGGTGTCCGCTAGTGTACCGGTCCACCGAGAGAGAAGCGTAATTGATGAAACCGATGATACACAGAGAAAATGTTTGGTCAAAGAAGCCGACAAACATGTATATGCGCGTGCGCGTAAAAACAAGAACGAATAAATGTAACCGCCGAAACGCGGCGGAATACGCAGCCTCCGTGGGGTGGGTGACAGGTGTGTGCGCCGACCCTGTCGTTGGCAGGCCAATCCCGGCCTCGAAGTGGGTAATCTCATTGTAGATTGGAAATTGATGGTAGGTAGGCAACTATACGCAGGTGCGAATTAGTCGAGATCGGAGATATTGCATAATGAATGCATGGATGGATGGATGTGTTCCGACGAGGAAATGAGAGAGTCAAAGAGTCATCAATCATCAATCATCAAGTTGTCAAATTCGCGGCGGAACAGACTTCCGCGTCGGGAGGGTTCAGCGATGTGGCCGGAACCTCTCGTTGGCAGGCAAAATTGGTAGCACACAGCCATTCCAGCGTCGAAGGTGTTGCTCATCCAGTTGTAGATTGGACAGGGCTTCAGTTTAATGGCAGCCAGTCGTATTTGCCGCACAAATTGATCGAGTTCTGAGCAATTCGGTGCCGGGAGCATTTGGTGCATGCTCTTGTTCTGTGCTTGAGAAGACCGGTCACCGACACAGCCAAACGTTAACGCAGGAGGCACCAATCAGGCTGAACCTTGCTGAGGATGTCAAAAGTAGTGCAGGACGGCCGATGGTTTGATTCCTCGCGCCCCGGGCGTTCAGTTCAGAAAAGTGCGTGGTTCGGGGCTTCGGGTGAACGGCATCAGGCATTCACATTATTTCTTACCGTTCTGTGAGACCTCTAGAGGTCGTAACGGTCTCTTTGAAGATTATCATATTCGGTCTGGGTCGGGTTGTAAACCCCGCGACCTCGTGTTGAAAACTCTTCGGCCAAACTGCCGATCCGTTTCTTGCGGTGGTTCGTATGACCACGATCGGGGGTATTCACTCAGCACCACGTTGACACCTCGAGGCCTACCAACCGTTAGGATAGCCTGCGGAAAAGGCGTTGAATCGGAACCTACAACACAGGAGAATGAACACCAAACAATGCTGAGATGGATACGTTTTAGCGCGTCTGTTTTCAGCCTTCACCTTCAAGGGTCGTGTAAATGCACGCGTCCAATCGGGATCTGATATGTCTCCCCGTCGAGGCGAAACCGCACTAATAGCCGTGTTCTGGAGCTTGTGCGTTTCGTTGGCACGACCTCACAGCGCCACCCACCTAGTGCTGTGTGCTTGTTGACTCCGTGCTCCGCAGTTCGGGAGCCTGGACAACCTCTACTGCAGGTATACACTTAGCTTCGGGAACGACTGGTACATTGTACACGTGAGTTCGTGTGTGACAGCAGTCCGCTCGGGTAAACTCAGACATTTTTAAGCTCCCGATGATATGGGAGGACGGCACGTTGATGCTGTTACCGTGCTAACTGTAGCAACGTATCGAACTGATCGTCGATGCGTTGTAGGTAACTGCTGATTCTTGTTCGGCCGTCGGCGGAATTGTGATGCAGCATACGTAGCAGTTTATTAGGGGGGTCAAGTGGGTCAACACGAAAGACGCACAGGAAGGAGTAGGTACGCTACGGAAATCACCGTACCCGACGATTAAGTGTTGAATGCACATCTGCATCAGAATGCAAGGACGCGTGGAAACATCACAACTGACATGGTGCGTTTGAGAGAGTGGATGTACCAACCGAAAGTTGAACCTGTTCAGGACGCCGCAGGGCCAATGCTTGTTGTGCACTGGCGTTTAACTGTCAACCAGCATCTTCAAACCAACACATCCAACCGGTACTTGATGGGGCTATTTTGCTAGGCCGACAGGCACACAATAGCCGCTGTCCCGGCCAAGATCACTAGGCTCACCCCAGTCGCAACGGCACTCTATTTCCGCAGGGTCTCGACACGGGACTGTCTCAGATCGCTCAGCGGGCTGGAGGGCAGGACACATCCGTCGTCTGGAATTTTCCCATCGATGTCACCTTCAAGAGCACGAACGCCTTCGGGTGGCCTCGTATTGCCCTCAGCGTGAGTCTCGTGTTGGCCAACTCCTCTTCAGATTCATGGCGAACAGAAAGCTCGCGACCACCGGTTGACCGCTGCTGCTACCGATTCCATGACGGTTTGTGCCGTGTGTCTTGAATCTGTGGTTGTATGCAAAAGAGAGCCGCGCCCACCAATATCAACACCATCACTGAGATTCTCCCAGGTTGATTCCGTAAGCAGAGCAGTTTGATTCCCTGAGAAGACACTGGGTGTAAAGTGCAGGTATCTAGATTGCGTTCGTCCCGAAGCAAGTTTGTCCTTCCTAGACAAGGCTTCGTATTGGACTCCCCAGAAAATAACGTGGAATGCGCACCCGTCTTTTTTGGGCACAGCGATATCGCACAATCATATGTCGAATCCAATCTCACGGGTCTCTGAAGCCTGCCGCTGGTACAGGCCTTCAAATAGACACTACGAGACGACCGGTGCATTGGTAAAGTGCAAGATCCAAAGTACGTACCCCGTACCGGTTGTGCACCATTCATCCGTTGGTGCGCCTCCAGTAACTCTCCGAAGGCCACAGAAGAGCACTATCTCACTTCCCGCGAGCGCGCAGCTCCTCTCTTGAGCACCACCAAACACACTGCCTACGCGTTGACAACTGAACCGACTCTACACAGCACTCAACCACGTGTCCTACAGGCATATCTTCGATGTTACCCTCCAAGCTACCCTCACCCTTGCCCATTGTCGTCGTTACCATGCTCGTGGCCACCCCAGGTGTTCCGAGTGGACGATATGGGCCGAGACACGGTTGTCGGATACGGATCTGTCTTGATCCCAACCCAGGCAGGAAGGCACGAGAGGGTGGCGCACATGTACGCCCCTCAGCCTTCGTCGATGCTGCAACGATTCAGAGCCTGGGTGTCAGGCGCGTATCCAGAGGTGATTATGTTAGGGGTTTGCCTCAGAAGGATGGGCTACAAGCTTTGAAGTGTTTCCTGGAAAAAGTGACCTGGACTCATTGTGCATCGATACATATCGCGTGGGAACGATTGGCAATGGCCGATCTTGCTGGCGTCTAAGGTGCTGGTTGAGCGGTGCGGTCGGTCCTCGAGTGCAACAAAACCCTGTGCTACGTTTCTCATGTCTTCCTGCTGGAAAACCGTAGACCAGAACGGTGGGCTTTGGAAACACATTGAACACAACCGACACACCATACCTTGTGTTTAACCACCCACAGCCAGGTGTATACGTTAGTACGGTTTTGGTCGGTCGGTGTTTCCGCGACCCATTGTCCGATGGCGACGCTGTCTAGATGGTAAAAACGTGCTCCGTGCCGTGGCCTCCCTTCTCTCGTCTCGTCGCCAGTTCTTCGACTCCAAGTTTGTGACTCGCGGGGAGGGGCGCGAGGTGACTAGAGTCAGACGATCAGGCACGGTGAAGGTTTCCCTCGATGTCATGACCAGAGGTGAAATAAAGCTGTGGGTTGAGCCCTCTTTTGTTGGGGTCAACACTCGAGCCCAATTGTTGGAGTCAACACTCGAGCCCAATTGTTGGAGTCAACACTCGAGCCCAATTGTTGGAGTCAACACTCGAGCCCAATTGTTGGAGTCAAGAAAGTGTCATGGATACTGAACCGGTGCAAACAGTGGTGGACTCGGCTTCCAGACTGGTTACCTCACCCACACTCACCACCATTGAGATCCACTCACTGAAGAAGAACGTGACACGCACGTCGATCTGTTTTCTCCCCACAGGGATGGTGGATTTCGGCTACAACAGGCCCGAGGGAATGCAAGGAGTGAGCCAGGACCAGCGGTTTGAGTCCTACTCGGGAGGGGGGGGTTCGAGCCACCGAGTCTCGTCCTCGATTTTCGGCAACACCACAGGGAGCAAAACAAGTTTTGTTGGGTGATCGGGAATAGAGACCCTACGTTGAGAGTGGTGGGGGGGGCTCCGTGACGTCCAGGCTCTAGCGAGGGGTCAGTTTCCGTGTCGCCGTTACCTGGCTTAGGCTAGCAAGCACCGGTGGTGTATTGTACTGTACCGTATAGTGCATCGCTCCTTCGGGTCTCGACTGTCGTTTCCTTTGAACCGTGGATTTTCAAGTGAGGCCGCAGGCGAGGCTGTCAAAAACTGCGTTGCTTTTCCTGTGCCGGACTCCCGACCACTCGTTGTAGCCGACTGACTGAGTGGTCGTTGATCGAACTCCTTTTACGCGAGTGTATCGAGACCGTGGCGTGACTTACAGATAGCGCCCTCATGGTATAACCTCCAGTTTTGGTCGAGGCTGGGGTTCTTACAGTAGTTCCTCTTGTGGGCTACAAATAGGTGCTATTATAGTGTAAGGGACTCTTTAGGGCCGTTTTTACACAGCGATGTTGCTCGCAAAATTTCCAAATTTGTTTCTAGATTCCGACTTTCCAGATTTCCATTTTTTTTTTTCCCAAAAAAATATTGGAACGAACTCGAAGTTTTCGGTGCCAGTATTTTCCAGATTTTGGCGGTATTTATACAGGAAATCACTGAAAATATATGGAGAGGGCGTGTCGTCACATGTTTCTGGCCAGTGAAACACTCAAGGGGGTACCTGACTTTCGAAAACTCGCCTGACGGCGAGAAAGGCCCATTTTTTTTTTCTCGCCCACCGGTTGACCGGTGCGAGCGATTGCCGCACCATATTTAGTATACTTGTTCGCGTGTTCGAGTTCGGCGTTCGGCGAAAAAGATGCGCTCGAAATTTTCGCGGAGGGGAAAGCCCACCAGGACCTTCGCCCTACGGATAACGAGCTTGGGAATGACAAGTGACATGACAACGCCGAAACGCAGGCCGTGCGGTGAAACGTGAAACGTCAGCAGTTCATCCGCACGAACTGTCATACGCCCATCCTCCTCGCGCGGTTTGCTTTGCCAAGGCCTTCGAACACATGTTGGGTACTCTTCCTCACACATGACATCCACCACCAAGCCTCAGCTGTCACCCCATAGCCCTTATATTCCCCCGACATAATACGTCGATGACAGCTTCATGCGATCGTCACCTTTCGAGATTGAACGACGGCACTTCGAGTCGGCATGATGCCGGTTTGCCGTCCCCCCTCGCAACACCCCCAAGACAACCCCAAGACAACCCCTCACTTGTGCTGCTGCACACACCAGACACCAGACACACCAGACACTGCACTGCTCCAACTCTCGAGGGCAAGGGAGAGAAGAAGGGTGGAAAACCGCGAGAGATGATGTTTGCCTCTAGCGTTTAGCCGCACTGCTACGGCAGTAGTCTATGTATTGTAGTCCACAGCAATACTGCCGATTGGTTCCCTCTGGTGCAGCCCCACCACCATGCACAGCTAGTAATTTATGCATGTGGTGGTCTCCGCCGTGTAGGTCTGTGTGTATCGCCTGCCCGCTTGCCGACCCTGTGCTATATATCAGGTTGTAGGGGGGGGTGAGCCCTGCCTATATGGTTATTGTGTTGGCCTCGGTCTTGCCGAAAGCGTGCGATTTCGAAAAGAGCGGGAAACAGCGTGCTCTGTTGCTTCGAGATTCAAATTTGCACCTCTGTCGGGTTTCACGGAAGAGGCGGCACCGATGCTGGCGCAGTCAAAACACGGAAGATCTTCTAACGTCGCGGAAGACAGAACCACCGTTGCATCTGCCAGGATCGGCATCGCTGCAGCAGCTCACCTGCGCACTTGTAGGCGATTTCAACCAGCCCATAAAAGACGTATCTTGGCCGCGGTTCTTGCGACAGCTCCGCTTTGGCGGAACGTTCAACCAGTCGTTCGAGGAAGTTGAATTTCCGGCATCACTGCAGCAGCTTTGCTTTGAATGGTGTTTCAACCAGCCGATCGCACGGGCCAAGTTTCCGACATCGCTGGAGCAGCTCACCTTAGCGGGCAATTTCAACCTGCCCATAAGAGATGTCGCTTGGCCGCCATTCTTGCGACAGCTACGGTTTGGCGACGGGTTCAATCAGCCGGTCGAGGGAGTTGAATGTCCGGCATCGCTGCAGCAGCTAATATTCGCCAGATACTGTACCCAGCCGATCCAACGGGCCAAGTTTCCGGCATCGCAGCGCACCTTTGTGGGAGACTTCAACCAGCCCATAAAAGATGTCGCGTGTCCGCGGTCCTTGCGACAGCTTTAGTTCGGCAACGAAATCAATCAGCCGATCGACTCTTGTACCTTTCCGGCATCCGTCGAGGAGCTTGCTTTCGGCGCACAGTTCAACCAGCCCATTGAGGACGTATTATGGCCAGATTCGCTTCAGAGGCTCGAGTTCGGAAACTGGTTTAACCAGCCAATTGAGAATGTCGAGTGGCCGACAGCATTGCAAGAGCTTACGTTTGGATGGTACGAATTTTGCGGGGAAAACCGGGTGGCGGTGTACGGGAACTTCAACCAGCGTATCGGTAGGAGTGTTTGGCCTGCATCGCTGCGGCGACTCACACTGGGCCACATGTTCAGGCAGTCACTGCAAGGACTGGGCACGTGGATGCCCAACCTGGAAACATTGCGTCTTCTTGATTACCAATTTGAAGACGACTCAGGATACGATAGCCTTCTCCGCGGGATCGACTGGCCAAAGGGCCTTCGTGAGCTGGTCGTATTTGAAGATTCGAACCTAGATGGGGTCGGAGTTCCTTCAACTGTACAAGTCTTGAAGGTGGAAAACGCAACGCTTCCCTAAGGTGACTACGTTCCAGACCTAGACTCAAGATTGTGCCAGGAGCAGCATTTCTGTAGTCACATGGTTTACGAAGCTTTAATCGATGCTTTCGAGCGAATCGTATTGATTGATGGCAGGTACTGTTTGGAGGGGGGGGGGGGGGGTCGTACGGTCCTCGGTCCATGATTGGAGTGTTTTCGGTTGATGGGCCCGAAAAACTCAGTACGTTTTATTCCCAGCTGTTTTGTCGTTTCATAGCCTGTGGCAGATCGAGTGTGGGCTGGTGTGCTTTTGGGTGGGAGCTTTCGTGTCGTTTTTTGTAAGTGCATTTTGTGAAATGCTGGGGAGAGGGGGTTCCGCGATGGGGATTTTTCTTTGTCGGGATATCTCACATGATGTATTTTATCTGTTCCATTGACTTTCCTCTTTCCCTTTGTAGGGCTGGAATACAGAAAGGTGTTGCGCGAAAGGTGTCCACTGCGAGGTGGCGGATGTGTACGATTCGGTAGGGTATGGGGGGCGGGGGATCCGCGTAGAGGATTACCCCTTGTTGGTTGGGGTATGAAGTGATGGCCCGTATTGTTGTGTTGTGTCACTTGTTCCCATTGCGGCTAAAAGTAGGATGTAACACGGTTGATTGTGCTGCACGGAAAGACTCCGCAGTGAGGTGGACTTGGACGTGGACGGTTCGCTAGCGGGGGGCTTTTCCGGTTGAGAGAAGGGTTCGCTTTTACCATGTGGTGGGTGTACCCCTGCCCCTGTAGTTCGTTTTCGTCCGCCTTTTGGGGTCACAGCCCTACCAGGGTCTAGGCCACCGTTCGCAGGTTGCAAAGCGAAACCTTTTCCAACTTGCAAAGCAGACACCTTTCCGACTCGATTCCCGTCTCCGTCATCAGAGTACATGGCAAATATTTGGCGGTGTACATTTCCCGTTGGCTCCATTTAGTGGATACATGTGAGAATTCCCCATCGTGGGTTCAAACCCACCCTCCCGCGTCTTTCGGATTTTCTCGGAAGAACGCCAGCCGCCGTTCCACCGTTTGCTACTTTCTCTGGAGCAAGAAACATACATGCAATCAAACGTGGAATTGAGATCACCTGGCCGGCTACTTCGTCATACATGCCCGGAGGCTGCTTTGCGGTACCCGACAGGGAGCCATCATATAGGAACCACATCTTGCCTGGAGCGCTCAAGACGATCGATCCTCGCGCACGCGCCGTCGTTCGTTGTTGTTTGTTGTGACACGGTTGATTTGATTGATTGCAAAGGGCACACCTGTTTATGCTTTGGATTTCTCGCTCGACAGACCACCTGCCTTTTGAGCTGAAAACTGCTAGGACATGGCATCCTACCACTGCTCTCTATCTGGTGTACTGATTGATTCAAACGACAGGGAGCAGAAGCAGCAGCAGTATAGCAGCAGCAGCAGCAGCAGCAGCAGCAATCCGTCGTGCGATGTTCGACTCTGGTCGGTTCATTCTGGCTCTGCCCCCGGATTTTTTTTCGACCTCGCCCCACCTCTGCTGCTGCTGTACACACACAAATGACATGTTGTATCTCAAACAGCAGGACACACGCACACGTCCACGGTTGATCGAATTTATCTACAGAGACACACACACGTCGTCTGCGCACGGGGAAAGGAACGCATGCATCTTGCGCCTCATCGCACACAGCATGATTCCTGTCGTGCGGCTGATGAGATAGTTATTTTTGCTCGTGCTGCGTTCCCTGAGACTTGCTGTGGCAAACACAGAAGAGAAGAAGGGTTGTTGTCTCATGCTGTGACAAGGTGAAGGAAGCTGTTTGTCCGCTTCCCCTCTGTCGCCACAGTTCAGCGGCCGCGGGAATTTCTGGTATGGGGGAGGCCAATCGTGAAGATCCCTCCGTGTGCTGCTGTCGACTACATCCGGTTATGTGCATACATGTATTCCACCTACCCCCACACCGCCTCTATGCATAGCAAAATGCGAGAGTAGATAGTGTCGAGAGAAGGGCAGACGGATCGTGTGGTCCGTGGCGTGCATGTGTATACAGCACAGCAGTCGTGTGTGCGTGTAGGACTGCTGGAGGCCGTAGGTGAGATCATGCCGCATGCCCCTTTCCCGAACCGTCAAAGAAACCCTTCATCTTCCACATTTCGGAAAAACTGCGGAACTCTCTTGGAGAAATTTCGTTGGGCTGAGAAAATTCTGGTTGTCGGGCGATCTGCATACCTGGGGAACTTGGGAACTTGAGCAGCATGCACTTGACCCTCCTACTTCCTCCTTCCCCTCACGGTCACTGCAAATTTTCAAACCCCTGCGACTACTGTGGTTGGTGACATCAACCACTGCGGGAGGCGGGGCGTGCTACGGCACCTGCCTCGCTCGGTCGCAGTTAACGGCCTTGAAGCATCATTCACGGGGTGAGAACCCCAGCTAGGAGTTGACGAGATCGCTTCTCAACACACCTCTCGGCGGAGAGAGCGCGCCACGGGCAGCAAAGAGGTGTTGGAGAGGGGACAGAGGAGGCAATTGAAGCTACAGCACCATGATACTTGACGCTGGAGTCGTGGTGGGGACATGCGCCCTTGTGGTGCTTGTGTGGAACCTCGGACGCATGAATAACGTCATGAAGGAGGTGAGTCGGGTCTCGACAAGAGGGTCGCGATCGGAACTTACTGTAACTACAACAGCGGTCACTACTTGGAGAACCTGGTACAGTAGGAGAGTTGAACATGGACCAATCTAACCCTGCGGCGTTGTGTTTCTTCAAGGACATCGATCGACCGCACACCCGAAGCTTGTGGAACCCAACCGAGACTCGCCGACACCTGACACGTGGGAGGCGGAAGAACTCCGTGGCGGTTGGCCCGCCTCCTTGAATGCAGTCTGTGGTCGAGAGGACTGTCTGCACCACCACGCACTCGACAACGACGGGTTGCCGGCAGCAGCATCAACCCTTACCTTGCTCGCCGTTTTGCACAACACAGCAGAAGTGATCAACGTCCAACAGTTGAAGAACTTGCAAGAGTTGTTTTTCATGTCACGCATTCGGATTGGCGTCCTACACGACAAGAGAACGTCGGACACGGAAGACGGCGGAAAATCGCGAACGCAAAAAAGAATGCGAATCACGAGACGCCAGCTGTGCATCAGGGGGGTGGCACCAACAGCTGCTGTGGTAGTTAAAAAATATAAATACATACAGTAGTGTTCCCTACAACGCCCCCGTAGGAGAGAGACACCGGCCTGACGTGGGTATGTATGGGTTTGTCCGTTCTAGCATGTACCTGCTGCCGAATGTCGAACCCACGACGACGCCCTACACTAAAACTATATCAACCTGACCGCGCGGCACTGACTGGAGTTTGTTTGTGGGTCAATGTTCGCACTTCCTACTCAGGGTTTAGTCTGAATGCAAAGCAGCATTGCTGTTGCTGTTGCGATGGAATAATGCTGCCTTTTCTAGCGCCCCCGACACGATTGAGCAAAATAGAAAACACGCACTACAAGCAGTTTTGAAGCGAAAAACTTTCCAACCTGCTAACATCTTCATTCATAAAAAACACACAGAGATAACTCGATCAATGTGTAGTGTTAACCGCGGCTCAACACAAACCATTGCAGTACCCTACTGCCTCACCCCTTAAACGTTTGCCGGTTCTGACCAATTTCTTCCTCCCGTCTGCCCCTTGACTATGTACCTGGCTTCGTCTTTCAGTTGGAAAACCAGTGCTGTGAAGAAGAACGTACCCCCGACACCTTCGATATTGAAGCTAAGGGGGGCGGGGAGCTTGTTCTCGTCAAAGACGAAGAAGATGATGGGCAAACGACGGAAGAAGCGGAAGAACGCTCGCCGACACCAACCAGACAGGACGTGGCGATGCTCAAGGCGGCCATGCGCCGCGAGCACTTGCAGCGCATGGTGCCAGGTACCCTGACCCCTGACCCGTGGCGAAGCATCTTCTACGGACGAGGCCGCCCGACAGACGTCGGTCCTTGCAGAAGCCTCTCCAGCAGCGGTCATAGTATGGCCGGGTAGGATGAAGTCATTGACGAGGTAATGGTGTGGGTTGTTCTGACGGACCGTTGTATGCCCCAACGGCAGGATTGAGGAGTGGGGAAGGACAAGCTGATTGGACGAAGAGAGAGAGAGGGGGAGGTGAAATGTGGGGATGGTTCTTTGGCTCATGCGTCGAGCGAGGTACCGTCATCATCGTGGTGTACGGTTTTCACCATGGCATGTGAGAATCTGTGTGAATAAGTTGTGAAGGGTTCAAGTTGAAGCAACAGCGGACGAGGGCTTGTACTATAGCTGTAGCAATACTTGTCGGGGACTTGTGATCTATCAATCAAGCGTTTGTCTGTACCAACACTCTCGGCGGACTCCTACTGTTACCGAAACTACTGCATCGTAATATAGTGAACTTGTGGTACGAGGCTCCAGCCCTTGGTGTAAATGCAGGTGTGCTCGAGTCTGTCTCCCTTGGGAGGGCTCGCGTGAGAAAAGTTTGGAAAAGTTTATCATCCATCTCGCGGGACGCTTTCGGTTCCATTTTTCGTATTCCGTCGAAACTTGGACTCCTTAATGCGTCAGGCGGCTTAGGCTGCGGAAAGGGAGCCTGTCGGCAAGAAACGGCCATTGTGATTTGTAAAGTACTGATGTGAATATGTTTCTGTTATTGTTGATGTTGTTCTGTGCCCAAGCGTCGTCGCCTCTAGAGTAGACAAGAGGGCGGCTGGTTCATGCCGAGGAGGGATTTCCCCTCCAGTGACAGGTTCCGAGTGATTGGCTGCATATGGGATGGCCCAGCCAGTGTTTTGGGTTTTAACTTTCGCGGCAGAGGCCCTCCGCGCTGGTGAGAGCCAATTGCAGGTAGCGTGGATGCTATGAGTGCAGCAGTCTGTCATTACTTCCAATGTGTACATTTTTGTATATATATTCACGGTAGCCACCGGACTCTACCGCAGAAAGCTTAAGTCAGCACGCGCCGAAGAGACTGAATTGTCCCTAAGGGACAAGAGGGAGAGCTGCCCAGCAACGTGCCCGGCGGATATCTGTTGGCTGGTTCGTGGTGATGTTCAGAAGAAGCAAGCAAGTGTTTATATCATATTCGCAACCTTTCGGGAGCTTTGTTTGCAAGCATATAGCTCACCTCCGGGTGGGCTCTTCGCTTGACACGTGTCAACCGCACACATGCCTTCGACCGAATCCTTCCTGTGCGGGTTATTTTTCTGCGGCGACATGCACGAACCAAGCCGCTGCGACAAGCGTTCGTACGTATGGAAATCGGCACGGAGAAACCGAATGTCGCGTTCTGCGTTCCGTGAGATCAACACACAGAGCTGATCCACTATAATATGGTCCCGCGAAGGCTGGTGTCGCATGCAGAATACTACGCCATCAACACCTATGGATACCTGAGTATGATTCCCGCGGGAAAAAAGTTCCAACGAAGAAGCACACGGCCTGGACAGACAGAGGCCTCTGTGCTCTCACCCGCGGTCGCTCTCCAACAAAAAACAAAGAGAGGGCGGCAGGGACGACTGCGACAGTGAAGCACACCATGACGTTTGAAAACATCACGAGTTCGTACCGACAGAAAATGAGCCAGCTCGAAGGTAAACCGTCTCCGAATCCTGTTGGTATGATAAACCTTCAGGCGAAGCAAGGCTGTTTCGTCGTCGAAATTCCCCCTGCAAAAGGCTTCATATGCCGTGGTTGGCGATAGCTACGATGAGTCGATTGGTGCGCTTGCCCGAGACCACCATACGTTGAAAACGCAGCAGTAAGGAGGGTACATCTAGACGGGTTGAAAGTCCCCGTCTATAATAGTGATTTGCTTTACTTACAGCTCGACCTTCGAGGGAAGATCCTGCCGTTTGGATCGACTTGTCGGTGCTTCGACTCGCAGATGGGGTAACGATTGCGACATCTACAAGAATGGACTTGGTGCAGAGTTTGTGTGTGTGTGCGTTTTTTGTTCTTACTAACATCGACCGCGCTAACCGGCTGACCAATGAAAAGACGTCAGTCTCACGGCGGTTGAAAACACAAAATGCTTCTAAAGGCGATGATGGTCTGTTGTGTGGGGGGGTGGGAGTGCTTGCCGCGGGGGCGCGCGCGTCTAGTACACGTGTAGACACCCTACACCGAGGAAGGCGAGAAACGGGGAACAAAAAAAGTCTACAAGGCACGCGATCGGGACAGGTATGTATACATCCCGACAGCACAATCACAAGCCTGCTCATAGAAAACACGCACCCCGGCGGGAAGATTTTCGGAACGGGTTAGGGTTACTCTAGCCCTAATCCTCATGCTTGACACGAACCTAAGCCCCATAACAATTCCAATAAATTTTAGCAAGCGGCGAACACGTGGAGCCAACATACATCTTACCGCGGACGTGGAGCCAACCAACCAAACTTGCATGACATAATCACGAAACCCTATGGTACTAGACTACCGAGTCAAAATTAACAGCCACCAAGCCACCAACAAACGCGAGGCGCAGACCTTGGGGGGAGGACGCGAGAGCTACAACACAGCAGTGGGGGTCCATGAACAAGGCAGTGGGGCGGCTAGCTGGTAGTGACAGGCTTATGTGGGGTGGTCGCCGTATTCTTTGCCAGCCAATTTCACCCGCCTGATATATATAGGCCGACGGTCTTATTCAGACCGCCTTATTCGGGAACCCCCACTATCTAAGCTATGGTACTTCAGCCGGAGACACTGTACTTCTATCGGAGACATTGTACTTCTGTCGGAGACATTGTACTTCTGTCGGAGACACCGAGTGAAGAGCGGTCGTCTTCCTCTTGGCGTTCCCGAAACTACAACCTACTTCCACAAGACGGACCGGACCACACACCAAACTGAGCCAACAAACCCCGTCGCTTGTACAAGTATCACTGACCTCGTTGGCCCGGAAGGGTCCCAACCTCCCACCAAGCACCTCGTCTCGCCCCCCCTCCTGTTGAGAGTTTAGCCACTTCATGCGCAACGCAGGCAGCAAGATAAACGGCAAAGTCACACCCGTTTCCTAGTCCTTCTGGTACCACATACAACCCAACGCCCGCAAGAAAATATTCCTCTGTCCTAAACCTTGCGATGGTGAAGCCATGCACACCTCTTAACCGGTTCTATGAACAATTCCGCGAGGAAACGGTGATGCCACCCCCCGATGCAATGGTACTCAGCATAACACACACACGCAGCAAGGAGAAGGATTGGTCTGTCGTGACTTGAAATATACCCTTTGGCACCTCACCCTGAAAAAGGAGGGAACTATCTACCTAAATGTCGAAGGGACACATGCACCACTACCACCGCTACTATTCCTACCATCCAAGGGCGGGTGGGGGGGTGCCGACCTTACTTATAAATATAGCCACGGAGCAAAAGAAACCGGGATTTTAAAAACATGGTACACTAACGTCACGCGTCCTCCGTTCGTTCACTGCCTTTCGCGACCGATCTTCGTCCAGCAGCTAGCTGGGAATCTTGGCAAGGGCGGTCAGGATGCGGGAGTATCGCCCCAAGGAACTCGAGGACCCAATCTTGTACCTTCTTCTTCTTCTTCTTCTTCGCCTTTCCACTCCTGTGTTTGCTCCTCAATCTCAATCTCAATCGGAGTGAGCCCGACCGAGCCCGGCCCCGAATAAATCTGTTTTTTTTGTGACAGGCGTACAACCCGAAGGCACGAGAGAGGATGGATGGGTCGAAATTGGCGGCGTTACACTCCCAGTAACCACCGAAAACCTATCGTCTCCGACTAAATCTGGTTTTGACACGCGTACTACCCAAAAATATTAAGGGAAGGCACGAGAGAGGCCCGGTCGAAATTGGCAGAGCTACACTCCCAGTAACCATACCGTCTCCTAATCGTTCGTGATCGCGGAGCGTGGGACACGGTTTCCTGTGCTGCGTAGAACGGAAAAACGGTGTGCAGGTCGTATGATATGTGCTGTCGGTTTTCGACTGAGCCTATCGGGATTCAGACCACCCCTGCTGCTGGTGTGCTCCCCAAGGGGTTGCTGATCAACGGAGGGACAGAGACAACATCATACAAGAAAAAAAAACACGTGGTTTACCCAGAAATCCAGGGGCGCGTGCTTACGCAGTAGCTGACCGGACAGGACGGCTACGACGCGAGGCGCCGTGGGATTTGAAAAAAAAGGTGGCGCCTGTAACAACCGCTTGCAAATTTTTTTCTTTCGAGATGCAAGTGTCATGTTCTCGAACTAAAGCCTGGTGCACTGCTGTTCGCATTCGTCTCTTGCGACACATCAGATCAGTGTGCTCTCTCGGCGTTGTGCACTTCGAGTTGGTGTTGGCCAGGACCAGTGAGGTAACCCAAGGATGTGGGATGGCCAGGAGGTACATATACCACATCAGCATTGTCTGCTCTGCGCGCCCCCTGAGCTAAAGCTGTATCCGCACTTCAGCTCAGAATTTCTCTCAGCAAATAACAAGCAACTTTCATTTCTACACGATCGTGAAGCAAGAGGGTCAAGCGACCTTTACCTTTTCCTACAACAGTTTGTGCTCTTTCGTGTCTACCTCCTACCGTAGGTGACATGACACAAGATACCACACTCCCTGGACCGATTTCCAAGGCTCGATTACTCCACGACAAAGAGGATGAAATGGTATGTTTCGGAAAGCTATCGACGAGACGGCTGGAACACCGCCGTTATCGGCGCTGCCACTCTTTCTGCTGTGGAGTAATCGAGCTTTCAAAATGGGTCCAGGGGGTGTGGTATCTTGCGTCATGTCACCTACGCGGTAGTCCTTCTCCTTCAGTTTCCTCTAAAATAGCACCCCACAGTTGTCAGTTGCGTGGGAGAATACATCCCGTTCCTAAAAACGTAACTGGCGGTGGCCGGGGTAGGTGCTGCAGTACGAGAGAAGGAGGTTCTGCTCATCATGAAAACTTTCATAAATCCAATTTACATAGTCTACATGATCACATGCAAGGTGTGGGTTCATAATGTTCCTCTTTTCGTTGGCGGTGGTCGAGAAGTATGACAAAATATACAATTGAAAATATATATGTAGCGCGTCTGCTGGGCCATGATACGATTTCCTTTCGTCTTCTTCCCATGGATGGCACCCGCGGCCTGGCTTTTGTCACCATGGCTGCAGGAGAAATGGGGTCGGAGTGGGATGATGCAGAACAGCAGCAAGGTAGAACGGCATTGAAGCGTTTCACCTACAATCTATTTAGGATGAACGACGATCATGTAGCGCTCTGCTTTGGTTGATTAGAAATAAAGCGTTTATACACATGCATACCAGTGTTGAGTATTATAGTGGCCTGAGATCACGGAGGGCGTCAGCGGCAATTGGACCGGTACGGGATTTAGCCAAACAACGGTTTTAAAAGTTCATATTCGAACCGAGAACACTTTTATTTTCATTCGGCATTGGGTGGTATGCGTACAGTAGAGGTCCCTGTTTAAGTGCCGACTTGGTATTGTGTGCGAGCCGAAAACACTACACACACCGGCTCTAGACTATACCGGCAACTGGCACTTCAACCTGCACTAAACAAATCTTCACTGCTGTATCTGTGTCTCTCTGTGTCCATACTCCCAAGAGTGCAAGGAGAAATACTGCTCGTAACCTCTTTGACTTGCTGGTAGGGACCTCCAGAGACCTGGCGGGGGGGGAGGTGGGGGGAGTGTGGAGATCAAACAAACGAGATTACCGTATATGACACAAGATAACACACCCCCTGGACCGATTTTCAACGCTCGATTACTCCACGACGAAGAGGATGCATAAACGAAACAATACATTTTCGAAAACCTCTTGACAAGACGGTTCCAACGCCGCCGTTTTCGGCGCTGTGACTCTTCCTGCTGTTGAGAAATCGAGCTTTGAAAATCGGCCCAGGGGGTGTGTTATCTTGTGTCATATACGGTAATTGTTCGCGTTTGACAGCAGTTGCATGTACTTGTATGCACACTTCACGGAGTTGCATTTGTCAAGAAAAAGATAAGAGCCCCCGGAGGGTGGGGAAACAACAACGGTGAACAAATGCTCTTCGGTTGAAGTATTACAACTCCCAGTTCAGAGATACGAATGCGCTACCTTCTCTGCGCGCACTATACCCCTCGTGGCTTCACTACAGCAAAAAAACACTGCTGCTTGTAGTCTATCACTTGCAGTTGGCATCAGCCACGCCTCTGTACATTATACAATATACTCACCCCACGCGAGCTCGTTGAACACAGCTATGTTGAACGCGATTACGCACACAAAGTAGAAAGTTGCCAAGTCCATCACTGCCCCCCCCGTGAACCTCCGTGTTGTTTATAGCGCCGCCAAGCCTCCTTTAACTCGCGGTCTTGCGTGTGCCGTTGTGGCATATACGTTCGACTGCTGTGGGGTTGTAGTCTTTCTGTTGTGTACCTGGTACACCTTTTTTTTTTTTTCGAGTTTAACTACGCCGCATATTTGCCCGAGAGAGCAAATTCTGAGAGAAGGCGATTAGCGCGTTGGCCGCACAGCACGCACCCGCGCACGAACACACACGCAAGGGGGACACCCGGTGAAGGCGGCGCGTGCACCGTACATTTCCTCTTGCTCCTCTCCGTTCGCTCCCGGAAACGTCATCTGTTTGGAATCCCCTCAACCGAAGAGGCAAGCCCGGGGCATTTTGACATTTTGACGGAGAGACAAGCGAGCGTCCCCTCACGCCTGCTCCGTGTGCCTGCTGCTGAGGTCGACCTACTGCTGTAGAGCGAACACAGGAAGAGGCAACATGGTGGACAGGGAGGCAAGCTCGAAGCGGTTGGAGATGCGAGTGAAGACTCTTTCGAGCGTCACTGTGGCTGAGGAACCAAATCCCAGCAGAGACGCAGCAACGAACATGGTCAGTGCTGCTGGTGGAATTTGTCCAGAAGGGGGGGGGTATTCGACTGCGGTTGGACGTCTTGTAAGGCCCGGTATTCTCGTATTGCAGGTGGTTGTGCGTCGTCACTCTCACTGTGGCGTCTACAATGATGGTGGAGCCACCCAGCTGAGCCAGACTTCTGATTTAAACTCCGGTGTGTGTAACTAGCTGAGTTGAGCACTGAGTGCTCGAACATATCATTTGGAAGAACAACAAGAGTATTTAGTAACATAGACTTGTTTTCTGAGTGAACGAGAACATCGACGTGATCGGCAGTGTTAGCAGCAGTCGCTGGCGGAGACTGGGCTCAAAGGAGTGTTTGGAAGTCATTGCTCCGAGTTCTCAAAGGTTCGGCGGCCCCGGCCGGGCTGAATTAAACACTATACACCGCACGGGAGCGAGACCGCCGTGTAAAATTGTACTACTGCTGTACAAAGTAATTTTTGAATTCGTACTCGTTGTTCGGTGTAGAACTTTTTCACGGACTTTTTACATGGACAGAAAACCTCGGCTGGATCAACGACAACGAGCGGTACAAGATAAGGAAGGGGGATAAAACCCTCGGTCGGAGTGCTTTCCCAAGCGGCTCACCAAGATTGCCTTGAGATTTCGCAAAGGCAGTAGCAGGAAGCATATCTACGTTGGGAAGGATCTCGCTGGCAGCAGAATCGAAAGCACTCACGGCTGATTCTGCGTCCCCCCCCGTCGGTACGCCCGTCAAGTAGGCCCACAGGGTGCACATAAGGATGTACTGTTACCCCCCCCCCCCCCCCGCATCTACTCCGCGTAAATTTTTCAATGCCAACAACTTAGGGGGTTTGTTTTAGAAATCCCTCATGAAGAATCGCCCCAAAAGACTTAGGTCCAATATACAAGTGTGCCCAGCAGCTTGGAACAGCGAACTAAAGTTGCACGCGTTGTTCTTGACCTCCTCTCTGTGCATGTTCTCTCCGTCCGAGGCAACTTGGTACTTTCTGCGGAGCCCCGCCCTTAGCCACAGCCTTGCCTTCATCAACCTCAAACCTAACGCCTTTCTTTGACATGTGTTGTTGTTCTTACCCTCGCCGTCACGTCTGGGCCTTGCCCTCACACCTATCGCCCTTCCTGGCTCGTCGCTCATGTGTTGTTGTTGTTCTTACCCTCCCCTCCGCGAACAGGCGTCTCCGGATGTGGACCACATCGGCAGCATGGTGGGCGAGGAAGACGCTTTCCCAACAGGGGTAAGCTCGCAAGGCGTGTTAAGAACCATATGCTGCGTGGTCTCCGATTTCTATTATCCCGTGTAACTTTGTTGTTGAGCTCCACCCTGCCGCTTCTCGAAAAACCTTCCCGCAAAAGTGTATTCCGATGCACGGGGTTCTTCCCTCCAGCACTAGGGAGTCATTCGTCGTGTACGTATCTGCGAACCGCCGCCGCCGCCGCCGCCGCCGCCGCCGTCTCCGCCTCTCCCAACGGAAAAAAAAAAAAACGCTCTCGCGCAGCAGATGCGGCGCCGCGTGATCGAGCCGCCGCTGGGGTCTAAGATCGGCTACCACGAGCTTGAAGACGAGAAGGAGGATGCCGATGAGGAGTGGATGACAGGGGAGGCTTCGCAGGTCAGCGGGGGCGGCACGCGGGGCAGCAACAACTGGGTTCTCAAGGTCTTGTTCCCGATTCTGGTGAGAGGGAGGGTGGGTTTTCCATTTTTCACGGCGTGTGGTTCTTCTTCTTTTTCAATTTTTTTTCTTGGTGCTGGCGAATCCATCTCTATCCACGGACAAGGCTTTTTTTTTTGGCGGTTTCGACTGGCTATTGTAGCTCCGCGATTTTTTGCTGGGGTGTTGTTGCCCCCAGTCCGAGAGCAGCTACTTGTTTCGGCTGCTTTTTGGCGGAAGGTTATTCTACACGTCACGATCGGTATCAATAGTGACACAGGCAGAACACCGACTTCAATCGACCGAGAGCTCTGTATTGTGCACGCTCCCCCCCCCCCCCC